CTGGCGTCTCTCAGCTCCGACCTGTGCCCTCCTCCACCTGGCAAACCACAGGAGCTGCAGCACTCGCGGGATGACGGGAGGAAGTGGACCAAAAACTCCATTGGGAGCGCACTGGAAACAGCCACTCGTGCAAGTGACGGGAGCTTGATATAAAAGAGGAGCGGCCGAGCCCAGGGAACACACAATGGAGACTGAGCCTGATCACAGGCCGGGTGCTGGCCCACAGCACACAGAAGATGCCCATTGATCAAGATTTTGTGTGCGGGGCCAGCACTGTGGCCTAGTGGGTAAAGCCGCCTCCTGCAGTGCCAGCATCCCATATGGGAGCCGGTTCGAAACCCGGGTGCTCCTCTTCCAATCCAGCTCTCTGCTATGGCCTGGGAAAGCAGTGGAAGATGGCCCAAGTCCTTGGGCCCCTGCACCCACGTGGGAGACCTGGAAGAAGCTCCTGGCTCCTGGCTTTGGATCAGCTCAGCTCTGGCCGTTTCGGTCATTTGGGGGAGTGACCCAGCAGATGGAAGACCTCTCTCTCTCTCTCTCTCTGCCTCTTTGCAACTCTACCTTTTAAATAAATAAATAAATACAATTCAGAAAGAAGATTCCCCCACCCCCACCCCCACCCCCCCAGGAAAGGGCTGCTGGCTCTTATCTCAAGGTCCACTTAGGGCTTCCTTTTTTTTTTTTTAAGATTTATTTAATTTGGAAGTCAGAGTTACACAGAGAGAGAAGGAGAGGCAGAGAGAGAGAGAGAGAGAGAGAGAGAGAGAGAGAGAGAGGTCTTCCATCTGCTGATTCACTCCCTCAATTAGCCACAACAGCCAGAGCTGCGCCAACCCGAAGCCAAGAGCCAGGAGCTTCTTCCGGATCTCCCAGGCAGGCGCAGGGGTCCAAGGACTTGGGCCATCTTCTGCTGCTTTCCCAGGCCACAGCAGAGAGCTGTATCAGAAGTGGAGCAACCGGGACTCAAAGTGGCACCCATATGGGATGCTGGTACAGCAGGCCGGAGCTTTAAGCTGCTTTGCCACAGCGCCAGCCCTAATGGGTATCTAATATTTTGTTTCTTGTTTTTCCTTTTTAATTTTGGCTTTGATTGCTTTATTTGAGAGGTAGAGAGACAGAGACAGATGCAGACAGAGGTCTCTGATCCAGGGGTTCACTCTCCAAATGCCCCCATAAGAGCTCAGGCTAGGCCAGGCCCAAGCCAGGAGTCCCACGTGCGTGGCAGGGACCCCAGCACTTGAGCCGTCGCCTGCTGCCTCCGAGGGTGCACATCAGCAGGAAGCTGGAGCCAGCAGTGACGCCAGGGCTCGAACAGGCACTGCGACACGGGCTGCCAGTGTCCAGAGCACACGAGGCCTGGCCCTGATGGTCCACTGCTTGATTTGGGTTCTGGGTGATGTGGATTGATCCGCTCTGGGAAAACGCATCCACTGCGCCTTGGTCATCTGTGCACTTTCTCCTTCTGTATGCTCTGCTTGAATCAAGGTTTGCACAAAATGGTTTCCCTCCACGTGGGTATTCCACTGACATAGCTTCATGTAGTGAAATGTTAGCCTCTCCCCACTGCTCTGGTCAAAAGCAAAATCTCCCCAACCAGGAAAGTTCTCTGCAAGTAGACGAGAGGGCTTTGGCGTTGTGGCTCAGTGGGTTGTTGGCATCCTCTAAGAGTGCTGGTTCGAGTTGCAGCTGATCCACTCTCCATCCAGCTCCCTGCTAATGCGCCTGGGAACACAGCAGAGGATGGCCCAAGTGCTCGGGCCCCTGCACCCATGTGGGAGACCTAGAAGAAGCTCCCCGTTCTGAAGTGGGAAAACTCAGGGAGACAGATTAAGTTCATGGGCTACAGCCCACACCTACCCCACCATGTAAGCCTATCAGCAATCAGATGACCCAAGATGCACCTCCCTTCACCTGGGACCTGGGCGGTGGGGGCGGGGGGGGGGGGGAATACGATGTAACCACGCCCCTTTTTTGAAGTCAATAAAAGCCCAGTGAAGGGGCAAGCGGTTACTTTTCTCAGCTTGTGGACCTGGGACGACAAGAGCAGGGTATGAGTTTTCCCTTTTTCCCTTTCCTAGCTCACTCTCCCTAAATGACGCCCCAGGCGCCCGTGTACGCTTACTTTGTAAGTAAACCTTAGCATGCTGCGTGCCATGTTTGAGCCTGTGCTTAGAATTCTGCTCCACAACACTTCCTTCCCAACTCGGTCTGACCCAGCCCTGGGCGTTGTAGCCACTTGGGGACTGAAGCAGCAAATGGAAGATTCTCTCTCTCTCTCTCTCTCTCTCTCTCTCTGCCTTTCAAATAAGTAAAATAAATGTAAAAAAAAAAAAAAAAAACAAACAAAAAACCAGTAGAAGCAGGTGCCAGCCTGTCCACTTGGGAGGTTTTGCAATTCAGAGCCCACCTCCTCCCAGGAACTGGGGGGACCAGACACAGCATCTTCCAGGATGATGGCTTACAGAGTTCTTCTTGGCTATTAAAAAGATGTACATACATTTGAAAAGGACGAAGATGGAAATGCCCACAGGGAAAGGGGAGGGGGCAGAAGGAAGCCTCTTGTTCTGAATCTGAGAGAGCAGTGGTGGTGGGGCGGGGCATCCATCAGAACAGAGAGACCCTGCCGGTGGGCCACTCGGGCAGGCGGGCAGCTCAGCAGGACGCTGAGTGGCCCCTCTCACAAGGAGAAGGGCTTCAGTGCTTCCCGCCGTCTCCTTCCCCTCCAGGACAAAGCACGTTCCTCCCAGGTTTTCCTACTCGGTGCTATCAGCCTGGGGAGCCCACCTGGCTCCGGCAGGTGCCTCCCTAGGGCAGCTGCCTGCTCGAAGGCCTGGTAACCCTTGCGCTGCTGTGCTGGGGGGTGCTCTGGAGAGCTTCCCTTGGAGGCAGGCGGAGACCACCTGGAAGGTCATCAGGGTCCGGGCAGGACTGAAGTGTGAAGTCCTGGGCTGCTTCCTAGGTGGGCTTCTGCAGGTGCTTTGTCTTCCTCAGGCCCCTCTCACACACGCATAGGCTAACTGCCTAGCTTCCTACTTCCGCTGTTTCCCCTTTTCCTGAGCAAGGATCAGAATTACAATAGAGTGGCTGTTTAAATTCAGTGCAATATTCGCCTTGGGGAGAACACCCGTTCAGTGGACCCACCGCTGGGGAAAGGTTAAATCACAGCCTTGCTAAGCAGCGGGCACATTCATTTCACCAGCATCTGTGACCTCTTCACCACTGCAGGCTGGAGCTGTGGTGAACTCTAAGGAAGGGCGGGGCAGAACAGAGAGGAGGCAGGATTCGAACTCACAGCCAGAACGAATTTATTCCAGGAGGAAAAGAGGTGGTCAACTGCCAGCGTGCACAGACAGAACCTGTGGCAGAGGGCAGGAGCGTGGCGACGGGGTGAGTTTATATCGCGGAAGCCAGGTAAGGGACAATGAAGGGGGTGGTGCTGAGCCAGCTGTTCTCAGGCTGTCAAGCTTGGAAAAGAACGCAGAGGGTGGAGTGCAGCCCCCAGGAGGGATCGCGCTGATTTCTTGAAGGAAGGGGAATTCTATCTGCTTTCAGGCACCAAGCTCCAATGGCTGAGATTCTCGGTCCATTAGTTTTACTGTTTCGTAGACCCTTGTAAAGTCTTCCCTAACCAAGCCTAAGCAGTAGATTAACCCTGGAGTCTTACAATTTAAATTTTTGATGAAGAATTTTCATAGCAAGGCCCCCCAAATTTTCTGGAGTTTTTCATCAAACAGATAAAGGGCATCACATATACCTGAGAATTTCAGCCCTTAAGTAATTGATCAAACAACCCCACAGTCATTATCTAGTAAAGACTGAACTCCAGTGTTGAACGTTGGCAGTCCGAGAGAGAGAGGGAGAACACTCTTCCATCTACTGGTTCACTTCCCAAATGGCCACAACAGCCAGGGATGGGACAGGCCAAAGCCAGGAGCCAGGAGCTCCATCTGGATCTCCCATGTAGGTGGCAGGGACCCAGGTACATGCGCCACATTTGCTGTCAGCCAGGGTGCACATGAGCAGGAAGCTGGATCAAAAGCAGAGTAGCCAGAAGGAACATGAGGGATTCAGAGAAGGGATGGCGTAACCCTTTGTGCTTTGCAGCTCTGCAGATAGCTGTTGCCTCTAGAGACTTCTCTGTGTGAGCTCTGTAATGAATTATTACTGACCTCTGAGCAGGCTGTGCTATAGTTTTTCTTTTTAAGATTTATTTATTTATTTGAAAGAGTTACACAGAGAGAGAGAGAGAGAGGGGTCTTCCATCCACTGGTTCACTCCCCAATTGGCCACAACAGCCGGAGCTGTGCCGATCCAGAGCCAGGATCCCCTTCCAGGTCTCCCACGTGGGTGCAGGGTCCCAAGGATTTGGGCCATCTTCTACTGCTTTCCCAGGCCATAGCAGGGAGTTGGATCAGAGGTGGGGCAGCCGGGACTCGAACTGGCACCCATCTGGAATGCCGGCACTGCAGGTGGTGGCTTTACCCACTACACCACAGCGCCGGCCCCTGTGCTATAGCTTTTGATGAATCAACTACCAAGTTCTACGTGAGATGTTTTAGTTTCCATGGAAATCCTGAAATCCTATAGTTTTCCAAATTTTCCCTGTGGTATGACAGACACCAAATACATGAGGGTACTTGAAAAGGTTTATAGAGGGGTGGGCATTGTGGTGCAGTGGCTTAAGCTGCTGCGTGTGACACTGACATCTAATATGAGGACAAGTTCAAGGCCCAGCTGTTCCCCTTCTGCTCCAGCTTCCTGCTGATGTGCCTGGGAAGGCAGCAGCAGATGATCCAAGTCCCTGAGCCCCTGCACTCTCATGGGACACTCCCTCACATGCAGTTCCTGGCTCCTGTCTGACCTGACCCAGTCCAGGCCATTGTAGCCATCTGGGCAGACAACCAGAGGATGGAAGATCTCTATGTGTCCCTCTCCCTCTCTCTGTCACTCTGCCTGTCAAATAAATAAATTTTTTTTGGTGTCCTAGACAGGTGCTTAGATCCTGGGATTGCCTTCCTTCGCCTGCTGGGCTCCAGCAGCAGTGTCTGCAATTGTCTTCCAACATGGCCGAAGACAACTGTTCAAACCAGAATCTATCAAAGAATAATCCCCGCAGTCGTACAAGATTCACAGAAGAGCAACTGAAAATCCTCATCAACGTCTTCAACCAAAAGCCATACCCTGGTTACGCTACCAAACAGAAGCTTGCTTTGGACTTCAACATCGAAGAGTCAAGAATCCAACATTGGTTCCAGAATCGAAGAGCACGATACCCACTCCAGAAAAGACCAGAGCTTAAGGAAGCTTCAGACTCAAGCCAAGGCCATGGAGAAGACTGTCCTCAAGAGCAAGTTCAAAATCTCTCTACTGTACAAAGAGAACCCAGACGGTGTCGTATCAACTACAGCCCCTCTCAACTGCACACCCTCATCAAGGCATTTACGGAAAACCCTTACCCGGGAATTGATTGCAGAGAACAACTTGCCAAAGAAACCGGAGTTTCTGAGTCAAGAATTCAAACTTGGTTTCAAAACCGGCGAAACAGATTCAATAGGCAAAGAAAAATAAAGTCTGATGAGGAAGACCAGGGAGAAGAGCACTGAGGTTGCTTCAAGTCTTTCAAGAAATCTACCTGTTCCCTGAGACTTCCAGACAAACCTTCAAAAAATGGTAAACAGGACTTCACGAGGCAAATACAAGAGAAGCCACACAGCCCGACTGACCTATCCTGGTTTCAAAAGTCATCAGACATTGGGACAATGAAAACGAATCTAACAGGAGCCAGTGTTGCAGTGCCGCGGTTAAGCCACTGTGATGCCACCATCCCATAAGAACACCAGTTCAAGACCCAGCTGCTCCGCTTCTGATTCAGCTTCCTGCTGATGTGCCGGGACAGCAGCAGCAGATGATCCAAGTACTCGGGCTCCTTCCATCCGGATGGGACACTCAGATGCAGTTCCTGGCTCCTGGCTTTGGCCTGATCCAGTCTAGGCCATTGTAGCCATTTGGGGAGACAGCCAAGATCTCTCTATATGCCCCTTTTTCCCTTTCTCTGTCACTCTGCTTATCAAATAAATATTTTTTTAAAAAAAGGTAAATTTATTTTAGTTCAAAAAATGTTGAAATTTGTGGCAGGTGTGTTTGGGCAGCAGGTTAAGCTGCCACCTGGGATGCCTGCCTCTCCTATCGCAGGGCCTGGTGGGAGTCTTGGCTCCTCCTATTCAAATCCAGCTTCCTGCTCCTGTATCCTGGGAAGCAACAGCTCATGGGTTAAGTACTCAGGTCTATGCCACTCACATGGGACATCCTGACAGCGTTCTGGGCTCCTAGCTGTGGCCAGGGCTGTTGCAGGCATTTGGGGAATGGACCACTCACTGGCTGAAAGATCTCTTTCTCTTTGTGGCTCAGTCACTATGCCTTTGAAATAAATTAAACATTAACAATGGAAATGCATGCCCAAGTTTTTTAGAATATGGATTTCAATGAACTCTTTGAAAGAGTCCCCATACACAAGTATTCATTTTAAGTCTACTGTCAAGAATTGTAGCTCAAGTCATTGCTACTAAGCCATGTGCTTGTGCAGGCTCAACTGCAGTCCCCAGCGAGCAAGCGTGATGGCACGTGCAATGGGAAGGGACAACAGAGAACTTGGCAGGGAAACCAAATCTGGAATCCGAGGAGAGGCTGCGGCCACTTTCAGTTGTCCCAAACCTCTTCAGATTCTAGAGACCAAATGACCACTTTGTGGGTTTTTTTTTTGCTGGTAGGGAGCTATTTTATTTGCCAAATGAGCAGCCCCACAGGTGACAACAGATGCCCTAAATATTTCCTAAATATTGCCTTTAGCAACCTTGCAATTTGTCTAAAGACCTCTGTCCCACCTAGTGTGAAAAAGTCTGCTACGCATGTGGCACCACTGTCACTCTCTCGGATGGAATCGTGAGACCAGAGAAAAGAACGATGGTCCCAAACCTCTGGCGAATCCTCTGCCCCAAGCAAGAGGCGATGAAAGTTGAGTGTCATCCCATAGAGGAACAGAGGAAGCCCATGCAGGCGATCCATCAAGTATGCATGGAAGCCTGGCAGACAATGGTCCGGCAGTCACGGGATTTGCGAGGATTAGGGGAACAAGCTTCTTGACTTTTGAAAGTGTGAGGGTATAGTAGGTTGGGTTAGAAATTATCCCTTAGTGGCTGGCACTAGGGTGCAGTGGGCAGAGCTGTTGCCGGCGACACTGCCATCCCATATGGACGCTGGCTTGAGTTCCAGCTGCTCCACTTCCAATCCAACAGCCTGCTAATGCAACTGGAAAAGCAGTAGAAGATGGTCCAAATGCCTGGGTCCCTGCACCCTCATGAAAGACCTGGAAGAGGCTCCTGGCTTTGGATCAGCCCAGCTGTGGCCATTTGGGGAGTGAACCAGTGGATGGAAGACCTTTCTGTCTCTATCTCTCTTTGTCTATAACTCTGCCTCTCCAGTAAATAAAAAAAATTTTTTTTTTACAGGCAGAGTGGACAGTGAGAGAGAGAGACAGAGAGAAAGGTCTTCCTTTTGCCATTGGTTCACCCTCCAATGGCCGCTGCGGCCGGCGCACCGCGCTGATCCGATGGCAGGAGCCAGGAGCCAGGTGCTTTTCCTGGGCTCCCATGGGGTGCAGGGCCCAAGCACCTGGGCCATCCTCCACTGCACTCCCTGGCCACAGCAGAGAGCTGGCCTGGAAGAGGGGCAACCGGGACAGAATCCGGCGCCCCGACTGGGACTAGAACCTGGTGTGCCGGCGCCACAAGGCGGAGGATTAGCCTAGTGAGCCGCGGCACCGGCCAGTAAATAAAATATTTTTTAAAAAAATTATTTGCAGGGGCCAGCGCTGTGGCGTAGCAGGTAAAGCCACCTCCTGTAGTGCCGTCATCCCATATGGGTGCCAGTTCAAGTCTTGGCTGCTCCACTTCTGATCCAGCTCTCTGCTATGGCCTGGGAAAGCAGTGGAAGATGGCCCAAGGCCTTGGGCCCCTGCACCCACATGGGAGACCTGGAAGAAGCTCCTGGCTTCGGATTGGCCCAGCTCCAGGCGTTGTGGCCATTTGGGGAATGAACCACCACATGGAAGACCTTTCTCTCTGTCTCCTCTCCTCTCTCTGTGTAACTCTGACTTTCAAAATAAATAAATCTTTTAAAAAATTTATTTGCAAAAAAAAATATCTATTTGAAAGACAGAGGAGCTGACATTGCACTGTGACGTGGTGGGTTAAGCCGCCTCCTGAGATCCAAGCATCCCACAGGAGCCCTAGTTCAAGTCATGGCTCCTTCTCTCCGCCCTTCCCCTCCTCCCCCCGGCTTTCAGATAAATAAATAACTTTTTTTAAAAAAAAAAGAAATGCAGAGTGGCAAAGACAGAGACAGAGAGCAAGACATCTTGCATCTACTGGTTCACTCTCCAAATGCCCTCAACAGCAAAGGCTGAGCCAGGCTGAAAGCAGGAGCCAGGCCCTCCATCTGGGCCTCTTCTGTGGGTGCCAGGGACTCAGGTACTTGGGCCATCAGTGCTGCTTCCCAGGGTGCATCAGAAGCAAGTGGTGGCCAGGACTCAAACCAGGCACCGTGTCTAATATGGGATGTGAGTGTCCCAAGAGGTGGCTTAACCCACCGTACCACAATGCCAGCCTCTGAACAAGTTGTTAAAAGAGTTTCAAAGGTAAATTTCACAAATTCAGGATATTCATTTTTACTTTTTACCTAAAATGGAGTGATGCTATGTTCTCAAAATTCATCTTCAATCTTTCATCAATAGCCAATTCCAAAAAACTATCTTCACAGTTAGTCAACTTTCAGTAACCTTTGGGGGCAGGCCTTGGGATGTGCCTGGCTTTGAGTCCCACCTCCACTTCCGAGTGAGCTTCCTGCTAATGCACACCCCAGGAGGTGGCAGGCCAAATATTTGGGCCCCTGTCACCCATGTGGGAGACCTGGATGGAATTCCTGGCTGCTGGCTGCTGGCTTCAGCCTGGCCTGGCTCTGGCTGTTGTGGGGGCATCTGGAGAGTGAACCAGAGGACAGAAGATTTTCCCTCCCTCCCTCCCTCCCTCCATCTTGCTTTGCCTTTCAGATAAATAAAAATAAGTAACACTTAAAATAAAGACACACTGGGGATCGGCATCATGGCGCAGTTGGTTAAGCCACCACTTGCAACTCTGGAATCCCATCTCACAGTGCATCCCAACTCCTGTGCTTCTGATCCAGCTTCCTGCTAATGCACCTGAGAGGCAACAAATAATGGCCCCAGTACTCTCTGTGGGAGACCAAGATGGAATTCCTGGCTCCTGGCTTTAGGCCTGGCCCAGACTCAGCTGTCACAACCAGCACATGAAAGATTCTCTCTCTCTCTCTCTCTCTCTCTCTCTCTCTGCCACTCCGGAGGGATTAGTAACAGAGAGAGAGAGAGAGGTATGAGGCATATGATGGGATGGGGAGATTTTCAGCCACTGGTTCACATGGGTGGCAGGGCCTAAGTACTTGCGCCATCCTCTACTGCTTTTCCAGGTGCATTAGCAGGGAGCTGGATTGTAAACAGAGCAACCGGGACTCGAACCAGCGGTCCTACTGGATGCCAGGGTCACAAGCAGCAGCTTAACCTGCTTTGCCACAGTATCAGCCCCAAATAAATAAATCTAAAAAAGAAAAAAAAAGACACTGTAATTTGGTCATACTATGCAAGATCGAGATGCCCCTCAAACCATCTATGACTCACAAAGCAAATTTTTTCTTTCCTTTTCATTTCTTTGAAAGGCAGAGAAACAGAAAGAAAGAGAGAGCTCTCTGTCCATCTGTCCACTGGGTCACTCCCTAAATGCCGGCAGTAGCCAGGACTGGGTGAGGAACTCAATCATCGCAGCCCATTGGTAGTTTAGAAATTACAAAATTTGTGGTATTGTTATAGCAGCACAAAACAGGCGAGACAAATGCCCTTCAGTACTTTCTCTCTCTCTCTCTCTCTCTCTCTCTCTCTCTCTCTCTCTGTGTGTGTGTGTGTGTGTGTGTGTGTGTGATTCATTTTCATTTTATTTGACAGACAGAGGGACAGCATGAGAGACACAGAGACAGATCGGCTATGTGCTGTTTCACTCCCCAAACATCTAGAACAGCCAGGGCTGGGCCAGGCCCAACACTGGAGCCCAGGACTTCATTCCAGTGTCCCACATGGGTGGCAGGAAGCAGGGCCCACACGGGCAGGCAGCTGGGCTGCGGAGTGGAGATGAGATTGGAATCCAGGCACTTGGATGTGAGCGGTAGGTGCCCTATAACTGCTGCACCAAATGCCCGCCCCTTTAGTGCTTTCTTTCCTGGAAACCCTGCTACGAAACAATTGGCTCAGGTTTCCTTCCCTGAAAATGTCTTTATTTCACTGGATCCGCAGCGGATGCCGTACAGAACACGGCTAGTGCTTGGCTGGTGTGTAGGCCAGCAGGATGAGCTGGGCTTAGCTGGGTGGCTGGAGTGACAGCCTTGATGGGGAAGCTGCTCCACCGGTTGCGATCATATGGATTCACAAGGTGGTAGTTACGGCATTCCAATGATCGGCAAGGGAGAAATTCCCAATATACCAGCACCTGTTCATCCTCATGTTTATTAATTTCCAATTAACCAAAGCCTAGCTCTGCGGGAGTGGGGGAAGGACCCCTATCTCTCCTAGGAGAAGCTGACTCCCATTATGAAAGGTGTGTGTCCAGGGATAAAAAGAGTTTTCTGGGGCCTGCGTTCTGGCACAGTGGGTGAGGCTGCCTCCTGTGATGCCAGGATCCTATATGGGCACCAGTTCAAGTTCGACTGCCCCACTTCCCATCCAGCTCCCTACTAATGGCCTGGGAAAAGCAGTGGGAGATGGCCCAAGTCCTTGGGCTCCTGCCACCCGTATGGGAAACCCGGAAGAAGCTCCTGGCTCCTGGCTCCTGGCTTCAGCCTGGCTCAGCCCTGGCTGTTGCGGCCATTTGCAGAGTTAACCAGCAAATGGAAAATCAATTC